AATAAAATTCTGGACGGGCAAGACGGCCAGCCTCTGCAGACCCTGCTGTTAGTGCTGTGCCTGGTGCTGGACCGCCCAACTCCGCGGCCGCTGTCGCCGCCCGCTACGACTCGTCCGGTGTGTGTAACGTCGATCCTCAGATACCGCCTCCGCTGCCGCCATCACCCCCCTCTGCTCGCCGCCGCCGTCGTCTGCTCCGCACGCTGCAGACTGCCATCTCGCCATCACGGCCTGTGTCCGCGCAGCAGCCGGCGACCACTGTTTCGACGCTGGTGCCTGTCCCGACAGACGTCTGCTCGACCCGACGCTAACGTTAGACCCGACGCTCGACCCGACCCGCCACCACCGACGACCCGCCGTCGCCTGCCAGACCGACCTCGAGACCACTGATCGATGCGGCACCCACACGGCCCGCCGACAACACCCCAACGCAAACTTGTCAGGAATGGGATGCCGACCCAGCGCCGCGCGTATTGAGAGACTCTGGAGAATCCTGGGCTAGGCGATGCCGATGCAGCCGCCATGGACAACTACTATCCGTCCCCGCTGTCCACGAACGACGTGCAGCGCCAGATGGGCTCGCGCCGCGCCCAGCAGAACCGCAACCACGGCCGCAACAACGTGGCCATGATAAACACTTCCTCCCCCGGGGATGCCCTCCCCACGCCGCTCTCGGCCATGTCGGACATGGGCATGCCGGACGACATGGTCCAGCAGGACGCCCACGAGTTCCGACGGCGCCAGAGCGTGCCGCAACACTATCCAGGTCATCTGGACGCCGAGCAAAAGATGTCCATGGTTGGATACAGCCCGGGCAACGGGCCCTATCAGAATTTCGGGTTTGGGAATATGGTGTCTCCGACCGACGACATGTCCGGCGGCTATGGAGATATGGGCAACGACATGGTCATGCCCGACCATTCCGGGCCCTTCGCTGAGGGCAACCTTTTGGCCATGTCGGAACACGTTGACTTTGCGAACCTGTCTCCGGAGATGATGGGCAACATGATGGCCTTTTCTAACCTGAACATGGGATCATTGACTGCCAATCCGCACGCGCTCCATTTATTCGGCTCCCCGTCGATGCAGGATCAGTATCCGCCATCCACGATGGGCCCGGTGAGCACGGACTTTGCCATGGACCTGGGAGTCGATACCGGCCCCCTGAACGCTCCGAGCACAACCGGCGCTCAGTCTGTACCCAAGAATGACGATACGCTGATGGACATGGAGCAAGACTACGGTCCGCCGGACGGCTCGCGGACGCCGCAAGCACAACCAAATCTGCACATCAACCCAACTCTCGGACAGTACACATCAAATCTAAACAACACATTGACGCAGGAGGTTTCCGAAGTCTCGGGCTTCCAGTCGCCAGTGACGGCGTCGTCACGGCCCTTATCACTAATCGCCCCTGCCCCTGCCGACGTGACGATGACACCGGTTACCGCTGGCCCGGAGCCAGACACGTCCAAAAGTATATACTCCAAGAGCGGCTTCGACATGCTGAGGGCGTTATGGTATGTGGCATCTCGCAAAAATCCGAGGCTTAACATCGGCGCCGTCGATATGTCGTGCGCGTTTGTTGTCTGCGACGTCACTCTGAACGACTGCCCGATTATCTACGTATCGGACAATTTCCAGAATTTGACAGGATACAACCGTTACGAGATCGTGGGCAAGAACTGCCGGTTTCTGCAGTCGCCCACGGGTGAAGTTGAGGCGGGCACGAAGCGAGACTTTGTCGAGAACCATGCTGTTTATAATCTGAAGGAGGCCATTAGACGGGGCGAGGAGATCCAGCAGAGCTTGATAAACTACCGGAAGGGGGGCAAGCCGTTCCTGAACCTGTTGACCATGATACCGATCCCGTGGGATACCGACGAGATCCGGTACTTTATCGGCTTCCAGATCGATCTGGTCGAGTGCCCCGATGCGATTTCAGGGCACGAGCCCAACGGTGCCATGACGGTCAGCTACACGCACAGCGACATTACCCGGCCCATCTGGGATCCGCCGAGCCAGAGCCAGTGGGATCCCGAGAACGGGCAGACGCTCGGTATCGACGATGTGTCTACGCTTCTGCAGTCGTTCAACCCCAAGGGCGTGACGTCGGACTGGCATAAGCAGTCCTGGGACAAGATGCTGTTGGAGAACGCCGACGACGTCATCCATGTGTTATCGCTGAAGGGCCTGTTTCTCTATGTTTCACCGTCATGCAAGAAGGTTCTGGGGTACGACGCAAGCGAGCTTGTGGGGAAGAACCTCGAGACCATCTGCCATCCGTCGGACATTGTCCCGATAACGAGAGACCTGAAGGACGCCCAACCAAGCGTCCCGGTCAACATTGCCTACCGCATCGCCAAGAAGCAAAACGGATTCATGTGGTTCGAGGGGTACGGGTCATTATTCTCGGAGCAGGGTAAGGGGAGAAAATGCATCATTCTGGTGGGCAGGAAGCGTCCGACCTACACGCTTCGGAAGTTGGAGCTGGAGATGAACGGCGGTGTCGGGGATTCGGAAATATGGACCAAGGTTTCGACGTCGGGCATGTTTCTGCATGTTTCGTCGAATGTCCGCTCGCTTCTCGACCTACAGCCTGGGGACCTTGCCGGTACGAGCATGCAGGATCTTATGCGAAAAGAGACGCGAGCCGATTTCGGGCGGACCATGGAGAAGGCTCGCAAGGGCCATATCGTCAGCTGCAAACACGAGGTCCAGAACAAGCGTGGCCAGGTTCTACAGGCATTAACGACATTTTATCCCGGTGATGCGGCCGAGGGTCAAAAGCCAAGTTTCCTGCTTGGTCAGACGAAGCTGCTGAAAGCATCTTCCCGCGCCATCGCGCCGGCATCTAACCTGAAGACGACTCCGACAACACCGGCGCCGGCAGTGGAGGATCCCATCTCGCCCTCTTCGACGATCGGGAGGACACCTGACCTTAATCCTACTGCCCAATTCCTTGCCGATCGAACGCAGGAAGAGAGGGATGAGCTCGAGCGCGATCTGTTTGACGAGCTCAGCGAGACGCGATGTACGAGCTGGATCTTTGAGCTACGGCAGGTGGAGAAGGACAACCGGTTACTGGCCGAAGAGCTCGCGACGCTCTTGTCGAACAGGAAAAAGCGGAAGCGGAGGAAGGGTGGCAACATGGTCCGCGACTGTGCTAACTGCCATACTCGGAACACCCCGGAATGGCGGCGAGGGCCGAGCGGGAACCGCGATCTTTGTAATAGTTGCGGGTTGAGATGGGCGAAGACGGTAAGCTAAGTGCGACCCGTGGTGAATCGATAGCTAATGACAATTGAGAAAAAGACTGGGCGGGTCTCGCCCAGAAATTCGTCCAAGGGGGGGAACGGCGACACGCAGAGTAAGAAGAGCAACTCGCCGATCCACTCGTCGCCGCTGCACCGCGAGATGTCGTCGGCCGACACGCCGTCGCTCGAGCCGCCGACCAGGGCGTCTACGACGCCGACGAGCACGACGGAGGACTTCAACGCGCCCATCGCCGTGACGCCTCCGAGCAACGGCAACGGGGTTTCGGGGAAGGGGATCAACAACAATGGCGCTATGAATCCGCCTCCTAGCCGGCCGCTGCTCGAGGGGGGCAGTGGTCTGGGGGGCAGCGGGATGGAGATGACGGCGATCCAGGAGGAGCGGGAGACAAGCGCCTAGGGTGCGCATGATCCCGGCTCGTTCGAGTTTGACTGGTCGTTCTATACCCGCTGTTGATACGTTGTTGTTTTTTTCGCTTCACATCTGTTAGGATGGGTTGAATCCTCGGTCGTATTTCTTCTTGGACATGTTGGTTTCAGGGCCGGGTCTGGTTCGGTCGATTGGGAGAGGGAGGAAGAAATGAGGAAAGGGGAAGCTGATGACATGATACCACTTGTTACTTGTTGCTTTGTTTCTTATTGCGAGAAAGAGAGAGCAGAGCAGCGAGGAACTTTTTTTTACGAAACGAGAAATTCTGTAACTTTTTTTTCTGTTCCTTTTGGGGGAAGGGGTGGTAGCATCGTCTATGGATATGGTACATGGTATGGGACAGGAACATTCCAGGGATGGAGGGGGGTATTATAGAAACAAAAAGAAAACTCCACTGTTCATTACTAGATGACTGTGGTCGCGAGGCCACTCGGGAGTTTTTTTTCTTTTTCTATCTGGATGGTTGGATGGGTGGCTATGACTGAACGGAACAGGATGGGATAAGAATAGGAATGGGGGGATGGGGGATGATGAGCTTTGTTTTGTACCGTACCGTGCCATGCCGTGGGTTCTTCTTATATTAGACAGACAGACAGGATTTATGATATTTTTTTCCAGTTGTGGTTTCGGTCTTGTGTATGTGTGATGTTGTTTTTGTACGGGAGTAGTTCTAGTACCTTACATATATCAGATATATGCTTGGTGGTTGGAGTCGATGGGTGTTGTCAGTCTACCTTAGGCTCGAGGTCGGGACTCGTTGGTCAAAGGCTCAGTTTTCAGTCTCGATGAGTCTAGTCGTCGAGTGGTTTCGTACTTTCGTAGCAGCTTTGAGGAAGTGAGGAAGGGAGGAGACAGGGGCGGAAAGGGGGGGGAGAAAGAGAAACAAAGGTGGTGGGAAACGTTCAGGTGTTTCGAGAGGGTTGATCTGTCGCACGCAGTAGAGGGAGCTAACTAGCTGAGTTCCATGGGAGGCACAAGCAAGACTAAAATCTACCTTTTTTTTTGTGAGATATTCTGGTGAGGCTTCTTGGGAATAAATAGCTCGCGTCACATCACCTAAGGGGCGAGAGGCAAGAGGCAAGAGGCAAGAGACTTGATCATAACTGGGTAGGTCATGCATGAACAAGAAGGCAGGCAGGTAGGTAGCGTCATCGACTCGAAATCGGCCCCGGAGACCTGGGTTCAACTCCCAGCCCGCCCAAGCTCTCTTCCTTTTTTGCTCTGTTAGTATCAACGTAAACGGGGTATATAAGATTAGAACACACTGCTATGTATGCCAAAGAGAACCCCGACAAGGGCGGGTAGCGCAGTGGTCAAGCGTGTTCCTAAGCGTTACAACAACAGCGTTGTTTTCTTCACCTTTCTCTACTTCTTCTCAGCGCTTTAGCAAAAGACCTGGGTTCGAATCCTAGCCCGCCCAACTCTCCACAGCCATCTTTACGGCTGGAATCTTCTTTTTTGGTGGGGGGTCGTATGGCGATATAGACGTATGTGTTACAAGTCGTGGGAAAGTAACTTGAGGTGGACTACTCATGTCGGTGTTAATGGGGAGGAGACATCACACCCGCACCAGTCGTGTATCGTTGCTTTGATTGGGTTTAGAAGCATAAAGGGCGGGATGGTACGGTATGGTATGGTCGATGTCGCTTCGACGGCGGATTTTTTCGAGAAGCAGGTCAGTTACCCGAAGGGACCTTCGTTATTTGCGCTGTCTTTCATGGTACGAGTACTTATGGCGTTAGGAGGGCTGTCTGGCGGTGTTGGGTGTTGATTAGTGGGTGGCGCTGCGAGAGTCGGAAGAGGATGTTCATGTCGATGATGAGATGACCGCTCGGGAGGGCTCTAGGGATTCGGTGTGTTTGTTTGTTTTCCTGTGAGGAAGGGCTGGTTGGGTAGTTGGAATGGCACCTAACTTGGAATCTGCGGAAAGTTATATACCTAAAGTATGTAAATATAAACCATTGTAGCATGGTGAGAGAGGTATGATAAAGGCATGGTGTTGTCGAAGCGGCAGATGGCTGCTGCTTCTTTCTGCGTGCAGATAACTACCTTACCTAGGAAGAGAATCCTCTTCTCTGCTTTTAATCCAAAAAGACTGTTCTCTGACGCCAACCCCGCGTCAACCAGGAAGAGGACGGACCGGGATAGTGGTCTAAGGCTCGCTTTTTTTCTGCAGAAGCGCCGCAGACAGGCAAGTTTCACCATCAGAGGCACGTAGCCTGGCATGGCATGGCATGGCATGTGAATGTCGTGATGAGCTAAGTAGGTAAATAACCCGTCTTGTTCAGAACTAACCTTACCTTACTTTAAGTTGCTGCCTAGGTAACCTTGGGTAGCTCCGCTTTGTTTTAATTACCGGATACGCTTTTGTATAGATTGTCTGGCCGTTGTTTGAGTATGCCAGTAGATAAGTTACCTAATGGGCTGCTCGGGTCCTGTCCTGGGTCTTGTCCTGGAGAATGGAAGGGGGTGAAATGTGTCTGCCTGGCTCATCCCCCTTCCTTTCCTGGGACTCCCTCCCTTGGCCTTGGGCGGCTGTCTCACATTAGGCCCGTCGGGCTTGGACATTCATTCCGTCTTTCATGCAGTATTGCCTTTCCCATTGCTAGCTAGCCGCGCGGCGGCGGTCTAGACTTTTGGTGGTTATTATATGCATTGGAGGAAGTGGTGTAATCTTTCTGCCTGGTCGTTTTACAAAAAGGCCGGGAGTTTGTCTTGGTGTCCGCGTTCGTGGCGCCGGAGAGTCGGGTACGAGATACCTCAATTCTGGGCGAGGTATTATTCTTTTGTTCTGGGGGAATGGCATTGTCATGAGGAGTTGTACTGCGCCGCCTTGATCATGGCGGTAATGGCGGTGATGGCGGCCGTGGTGTTTGTGCAAGCGGATGGATACGCGCCCTTCCAGGTACAGAAGAAGCGTATTCTGACCATGTCCAGGGGAATGATGGGAATAACTACCGACCGACGTGCTGCTGCTGGTGCGTAATCTCACCATTGCCGGACTGCGACTTCTGCGAGCAATGCCTCGCTCGTCGGCGGGTCAGATCACGCACACATTGTGATGCGGGCGCGGGTTTAACAGGAACCATCTCATCAGTCGGCCCATGATGGAATCGTAACTGCCGAGTTCGTGATTCCATACTCTTACTGTGGTATTTCCCCTGCTGGACAAGGAGTGGGTGGATACTCTCCCCTCCTGTCCCGGTGTCATCATCAGGTCGGCTCTCATTCCTCATGGCCTCATGGCCTCATGTCAGCTCATCAGATCGCAGCGGACCCGATGTCAGAACCAAGCAAGTCACACGTCGGTCACCAGTCGGTTGTCAGCCTTTTTCATCATTTGACCACCTATCCACCGGTCCACCACGCTTGACTAACTAACTAATGAACTACTAAAAAGTTCTTGTTAGTAAAAACTTCACTGGACCATGGTATCCCCGGCGGACGGTGGACGGTGGATGGGATGATATCGAATTCGGCCCGCTTGCTTTGCTACGGTATGATTCCATACCGTGGTCAGCTTTTTGAAAGCCGCCGACCTACCAAGGAAGACAGGGAGAGAAGTCGGACCGCGGTGAACGTTACACCAGTTTTCTGTTTCAAGTAACACAACACGGAGGTGGCGATGCAAGATAGTGTTGTGTGGTGGTGGTTTGACATTGCCGTTTCGGTGGATTATCTCAAGATTAAACAACAAAAGTTATTCTCTCCTGTTGGATGGGGATGGGGATTTTGGTTAGTATCATTGGTATGCTGTGGAAGTCCCAAAAAATATCTGTCCTTTTTCTCTCTCAGATCATGTGTGTTGCGGCGCGTCTGGCAGATGATGTTGGGCTTCTCGCCTACTCATCCTGCTTCCTTTGTTCCTGTGTGTGATCCTGCCTGTATGAGACTTGGGACTTGCAAGACTCGGGAAACGTAGCAGAGAGCAAACCGCAGCGCCATCATTAGGTACCCAAATATGCCCACTCAATATCCAAGACCTGCAGATTGCAAACTTCGCAAGAAATAAATCCCAAAAAGGAAAAGGGTCCGTCCCCAGATCTACAAGACCATGTGCGCAGCCCGGGGGTTTGATGTGAGGTTGTCGCCACAAGTTCATGCAAAAGCCCCAGGCAGCAAGATTTCGGGGAGCCTCATTCACTGCACCAAATTCCCGATTCCCACATTCTCGGACCGCGCTGCGCATACACGCTAGATATGCAAGCCCAAAACGCCATTTTTCCCAGCTTCGTATATTTTCTCTCTGTGGATTTTTATTTGCCATTTGCCATGCGTTCTGACAATGTGTTTGTTAGCTAAGTTGGGGGTTGGTTGTTTGCTTTTCGCGGAATTTGCCCGCGGATTTATGTGTCCTGCAGTTTGCGTTCCCTAGACCTAGGCCCTGGGTCGGTGGCTTTTTCAACTCTTGGGTTTCCCGTTTGTTTGGTTTTTGGTATTTGGATGCATAGGACACAGTACACTAGATATATATTTCTAAAAGTATTGTTTTCTTTGTTTGTGTTGATCGGTGATGATGATGGGGGTCTCGCTCGCTCGCTTGTTCTGACAAGGCTGCTGCCACTTGTTGGCTCCATATTCGATGAGGCTCTGCTTGATGGGATGAACGGTACGGAGACGTGGGAGAGTAATGGGATGGGATGGGATGGCTTGGCTTGGCACGGGTAAGGACGGCTAGTTAGCAGGCAGGGCAGGGAGCTGTCAGTGAAGCCTGTTCCGTTGATCGACGGTGCATATTCATGTCCGTGTGTGCGTCAATGCTTCAGAGATGTTTGGGGATGCAGGGGTGGTTTTGTACTTTTTTTACTTTTGGGAGTGGGAGCTTCTGGTCCGGGCGTTTTTTGATGGGATCTCTTTTTCTTAGCTGTGTACATTTTGTGAAATAATTAGAGTTTGTCTTTGGGGGCAAATGTGTTTTGAGTGGTTGAGAGATTCCCAAGGGTTTGATGGATTCGTCTTTATTGTTTGAGTCTGGGTGATGATGGTTGAGCAATCGAGTAACCAAGCTGTCGAGGTTGTCAACGGGACATAAACCAACCCACTAACCATCCGTAGGTATCCGTAGAATACAATCCAGATTTCAGATTAACCTATGTAAATTCCCCCAACGCCAAAAAAGGAGTGACTATATACCCGACGCCGATGCATGCTCTTTTGTCTCTCCCATCCTAACTTAATACACTGTATCTGCTTCCCAGTCCATAGACAAAACCATCCATCCTGATCCAAACCGATTACACCCCCAACAAACACCATAACCCACCTATACTCCGTAGTACAAGATACCAATAAATTATATATCCCCATAAAATTAAGTCCCGAAACCTCTCATGTCATCATCGCTCCGTAAAAAACAACTCCTCCGACCTCGTCGACAACGTCCGATGCAACGACTGAAACGCCGGCATGGGACTACCCCCATCCGCCGCAGTAATAGGCGACACAATCGAGTCCATAGCCGACGACTCTCTGTCCCTGCTGCTCGCCGGCGTGTCGAGCAGCGCCGACGCCGACCATGGTCCAGGTCCTCCTCCGTGCTGCACCGGCGACGAGAACGCCCTTCTCGGCGGCTCGGGCGCGATCGTCTCCGTCTCGTTCCCCGTCACCGTCTCCCGCTGGCCCTGGTTCCACCACTGGTTCTCGAACCCGTTGTCGACCGTCATCATGGCCGCCGAGAGCGCGCCGAGCTCGCGCGTCCGGCCCGTCTCGTGGTCGCGGACCCGCAGCGGCGTCGTGCTCGGCTCCGGGGAGAATGTCGATACCATCGTCGGACTCGTGGCGAAGGGCGACATTCCATCACGGGACCGACCGGGAACTGATCGGGTCATGAGTGATTCCTCGTCGTCGTCGTCGTCCTGGTTGGTGGGTGTGTCGGGTTGATACTCGAATGGCCATGACCACGCCGACCAGGGCATCCCTCCCTCGCCGAGACGGAACTGTGACGGGTTCGCCGGGAGGGCTTTCCACTGGTCCGGTTGCTGGCGTGAGCTGGATGGCCCTCCTCCCCTTCCGCCGTGCTGCAAAACGTCCCAGGGGTTCTCTCCGATAGGGGGTGGGGCCGAGTGTCCTCGTTCATGGGATGATCTCGAGTCGGCCCGTGAAGAACGACGCTGTTCGTCCGGTTGTTCTCGTTGTTGTTGTTGATAGGGAGGAGGCGGTACTTGGTAGTACTCCTGGAGTTGATGATAGTTGCCCGCATCCTGCTCGCGTCGGTGATGACCCTCGGGGACGGTGCGGACCCGCAGACCTTGCCGAGAACGAGCCTGCTGCTGGTCAAAGGTGTGGATGGCGGCGAGGTAGTTGGTGTTGAGCGCGGGGACCTGACGGGGAAAGGCCGGTGTCCTCTCGCGCATGTTCCGGGACCGGTACGTGATCTCGTGGTTCTTTGGCGGCTTCTTGGTCCATGAGACGCCAAACTCG